TCAGTACGCTGTGCCAAATTTCGTGCAAATCGAAAAATATTTAGGGACTTTGATGTACCTTTTACCTTAGATCGGGCGAAAATATATATGGGAGCTATATCTAAATCTGAACCGATTTTCACGAAACTTGGCAGACATCATTCTAGGCTCAATTCAGTACGTTATACCAAATTTCGTGCAAATCGAGATATATATAGGAACTTTGGTGCACCATTTACATTAAATCGGACGAAAATATATATATGGGAGCTATATCTAAATCTCAACCGATTTTTCCCAATTTCAATAAGATTTGTCCTTGGGCCAAATAAGTGACCTATGCCAAATTTCATCCAATTCGGATCATAAATGCGACCTGTACTTTGTTTACAATTTAATTTAACAGACGGACGGATGGACGGACATGAATAAATCGACCTAAAAAGTGATTCTATGCATATTCTCAAAAGGAACCATGTGTCTATCTCGTTTCCTTTTGCCTGTTACAAACATATGCACAACGACATAATATCCTGTACCACAGTGTGGTGAAGGGCATAATAACAGCCAATCTGAAGTTGGCATTCCTGTTTGCCATTTTTACTCGGATAAATTTTTCGAGTAAGAAGTTTACAAAACGAATGCCATTTTCTTTTGCGTTCTCTTAAATTTGGTTAATTTTTTACCAGTTTTGTGGGTTCAGAAGCGGTTTTCGAGAAAATCATACTAATTTCTAAAACTTCCTGCAGACCCCAATTCTACACTCCAACGATAATTTTAATTCCATATTTAAGGATTCCAATCCAAATTGTACATTTAGTGTCATTTATTGCATATTTTTATAAATTTGCATGACTCCCAAGCTCAATTATGTAACATAAATGTTAATTTCTAATTTCAGGATTCCTGCTCCATCGGTTAACCTAAAACAAAATTCTATCATATTCAGAACCATTTACAAATTTACAAAACTGCATCCATACCCCAATCTCACAGTCCAACAGTATTAATTCAGAACCATTTACAAATTTACAAAACTGCATCCATACCCCAATCTCACAGTCCAACAGTATTAATTATTTCAAATTTCAGGATTTAGTACCATTTAGTATACATTAGTATACATTTCCATAACTACCAACCTCAACAATCCTAATTCCAAATTTCAGGAGTCCAGCTCTATCGGATCATCTAAATCAATATTGTATCAAATTTAGTACAAGTTAGTACAAATTTTGTTATATTACACATTCTATTCTACTACCCACGTCATACAATCCAATAGAAATATATTTCCTACTTTGAGGATTCCAGCTCTATCGGTTCACCCTAAATCCAAATTGTACCATTTAGTACACATTAGTGTCATTTAGTACACATTGGTAGAAATTTCCAAAACTTCCTACATACCCCAATCCTACATCCGAACAGTGATCCTTACTCCAAAATTGAAATCCAAAATAAAAATTGTAACTAATTTAGTACCATTTAGTACGCATAAGTATGGACTTTCAAATTCTACAATGTAGTAGTAATCTTATTTCTAGATTTTAAATATTTTACTTTTCGTAAACATAAGTACAAATTTCCAATACTACATACACATACACATCCCAAACCAACACTTTCCTCCAAATTCAAATTGTACCAAATTTTGTAGTGTTTAGTACTTTTCGCTTACATGAGTGCGCCCTTTCAAAACATGTTTGTTTATATCGATCCACCGACCAGAGCATCCAGTTAATACGTAGGGATTATGTGCGAAGACTACATCCGTTTATTCCTCCTCCTCCTAAGCGCTTCTCGATCACACCTACAAATAAAGATTCGATCTTACCGAAATACAACCCCGCCCTCCCTACCATATGTATCTCATTATAGTAACAGCATTCATGTTGTATTAAACTTTGTGCTCCGCATCCACATAAATACGTCTGTGACTGTGACCAATCATCATTAAATTGCAAGCTTGAATTATGTGGTCCAATATCTCATCTCAAGTACTAACGAAAATATTTGAAAAATTGTTATGAAGTAATACAAAACGTTATCGTTTATTTCTATAATTAGCCATCTATTGGGCAAGCGAATAACTATGCACTGTGGTTATTTCATATTTATTTAAAATGTCCTATAAACTGTATATGGTGAATATGATAATAAATTTAGCAATGACACAAACCACAACTATTCATGATTATAGGAACTATATACGTTTTAGTAGATGGCGCCCAAATGCAATAAAAAAAGAATTAAGATAGCACCATGTAACCCGTTTTACACACGGCAGTTCATTGAAATGCTTATCCAATGTGTAAAAGTTTCTTTTTTAAGTTCACTATCGTAGACTGGGTCAGCGATATATTAAGGAATAGATGGATACAATTTAGTCTACACAACATAACATCAGGGAGAAAGTAGAGCATGGGCAAGACAAGGGTCAACACTATTAATAGTATGTTATGGAACCTAATTAGGTGATATTTGGACCAGTGTGTTATGTCGACGACGTTATAATACTTTAAGGGGAATGTATCCTAACTTAATCAGCCACACAGGAATCATAGTCAAAGAGGTAGCCAACCTACACACCCGAAGTGATACTGAAATACACACTTTCGATGTGTACAATGCAAAATATTTTAACACAACACGTCTTGTAAAATGAAATCATGGGTGAAAAGGACCAAAAACAAATTTGAAATAACAATGGAACTGGATGAACACAAAAATACTATGGGGAGGCTCAAAGGAAGCCAAGACTGAAGAGGCATTCTCACAGGTCACCTCGGTATGCAGACACATTTACACAAAATTGAAGGCGTGGAAGATCAGTAATTGGGAATCATTTCATATGTCTATACACAACTTTTGCAAATCTTTAAACCCAATTCTTGGAAAATGGTACTATTCACCATATAAATGATGTGAGTGTGTGAAGACTTTCACTAAGAATACAGAAGAGACGGGGAGACCAATCACTAGATGTTAGGTTAGGGATGTACGGTTGTTGTGAAACCGTCCACTCGGAGACTATGTCCATTGTGATCATCCTGTAAAGAAAGGAAAAAAGATAGTGGAAGAGTGGGGAGAAAAGATAGTGAGAAAAAGGGGGCGGAAGAAATATTATTTTAGCCAAGTCAAATTTTTGACAAAGCCTAGAATTCGGTTAGTGTATATTTTGGAGAATTTAATACCTTCCAAACTGTTTATGTCTTCTGCTGATCAGCGATGGACATTTGCCGAGGATGTTCTCAATTATTTCCAGTTCTTCTTCGTCCTCACATAGACGACAGTAATCCTCTCCACTGGAGTCCCACTTAGAAGTGAGGGATCTAATTTTGCAGTGACCAGTTATAATCCCCACAACGATTTTGATCTCCCTCTTACTGTGTTCCAGCAGCGAAGACGTTCTTTTACGAGAGAATTCAGGCCAGATAGATTTAGAGATCCTGGCAGCAGCAGGTTCCCTTAGCCATCTGTTACCGACTACCTCGCAATGGAACGCACGGATTCTGCCAATGATGTGGGGTTCCACTGATGTCTCAATCAGAAGATTGGACGACTGTGAGCACCCACGAGCAAGCTCGTCGGCTATCTCATTCCCTTCAATGTTATTATGTCTTGGAACCCAGCATAACCCAACTATCTGTCGTATATCATTCAGAGGGGTCTTACAATCATGAACTGCTTTCGAGTTTATAGTATGCCACTTCACCGCTTTCAGGATCGCCTGACTATCGACATATATAGTCACCGGTCCCGTGATGTCGGCATTAAGTGTTTTTACTATCTCGACCGCTTTCGTGATTGCGAGAATCTCTGCTTGAAAAACGCTACAGTTATTGTTGAGTTTATATGAGTTGTATATACCTAAGTCCCTACAGTAAACGCCTGCACCAGTGCCTTCCTCCATCTTAGACCCGTCTGTGAAGATTGACAGACCTGGCAGAGGTATGGAGCCACTGGTCCAGGATTCCCTACTAGGAAAATCAACTTTGATGTCATTAATGTCCCTATGGGGGGGACTTTATAGTCACTGATATGACTATCCCCCTTAAGAGATCATAACCTGGCGTTATTTTTAGAATGCTGGCATGACCATAGTTCAGGGATTTCAAGGCATCTGTTTTCCGGAGTCTCAGGGCACACCTGGCCGCCTGGAATTTAATCAGAATATCTAATGGTTGGAGATTCAAGATTGCATTCAAGGCTGCCTGTGGTGTACTTCTTAATGTTCCGGTGATCAAGATTGAAGTCGATCGCTGTACTAAGCTCAGTTTTGTCAGCAGCATTTTTTTGTTCACCCCCTGCCACCAAACAAGACAACCATAAGTAAGTATGGGTAAGACGATTGTCGTATACCAGTGTATAATTCCGGGTCTCAATCCCCAACTCTTGCCTATGGAGTTCTTGCATGAATAGAGTGCCAGCAATCCTTTCTTAGAGCGTTCCTCAACATTCCTATTCCACAGTAGTTTGCGGTCTAGGATGGTGCCAAGATATTTAGATCTAGATGTTTCTTAAAACTTTTTCCTTTCTAGGACGCACAACAGGTCGTGAATGAAAAATGTCCTACTGTGGACATGTGGTAACCTACTTTATAGGCAATGATCGACTGGAAAACGGACCATATTTGGTTTCAATGAAATTGATCAAAATCTCCATCGGATTTTTCCAAATAATAGGCATAATGATTTTGTTTTTAAATTCGAAAAAGGGTGATTTTGATTTTTTTTATTAATTAATTAAATGTTTACATATTGTTTTTTATTATTATATTTTTATTTTTTACACGTTTTTTTATATTATTAAAAGTTAAATATTAATACTTTTTTCTTTTTTTTCAATAAAAAGTTATGGCTTATGAAACTGATGGAATAAATAATTTTAATATAAATAAATACTTAAATATAGCTTAACATAATAATGCTCGAATATATTTACAACAAATATATTTAAAAATAATAATAATAATGTTCAAGCTGGGGCAATAGCTTTTAACGGCGTTTCGCTTAGGGCGGTCACGTTACACTGATCTCCTCATCACTGTCGGAATTCGATTCATCATAGTCGTCATAGTACATTTTCATAAATTCGGAATTTTGAAATTGTTGTTGGTGCTGTTGTTGTTGTTGTTGGTGATGGTGATTGGCAAATTGTTGACCCGCTGTTAAATGTGTTGCTGATGCTGGAGGTTGTGAATTAAGATGACCACCGCCAGCAACAGCAGCCGAATGTTGAAGTTGATGTTGCTGCTGCTGTTGTTGTTGCAAATGATGTTGCATGGCAAAGAATGGATGTCCCGGATGCAGCGCCATGTGATGTATGGCATCAGGACCTGGACCACCGCCACCACTACAACTAATGCTCAACATATTCATGCGTCGTTGTTTGGCCTCATTCAGCGTCGATTCCAGTTTCATTTTCAAATCGGCTGCCACCAAATGTTTGTGCATCTCCGCATTGATTTTGGCCTGAAACTCAGCACTGGTCATGGGCATCAGACCGCCAGCACTACTGGGCGGCGATGAGGCATTTGAAGTCGATGTTGATGACTGATCATGTTGTTGTTGCGTGGGCAATTTGGCCACTGTCAGCAGAGGTGGTGGTGATGACAATTGATGTAACTGTGAACCAAATGGTCCAATACTTGTAACGGGTTGTGGCAAATTATGCATATTTAGATGACCGGATTGTGAGACTACTGAGGATGACGACGACGGTGGTGGTGGAGGTGATTGCATTGAATTTGGTGAATTGGCAGGTTTGGGGGTTGATGTTGCCGATCTTTGTTGTAATTCGTCTTTGGAATTAGCCGGCGAATGAAGTGGCGGTGATGATGATGCCATATTGTGTGAATGTTCGGGAGACATTTGCAGTGGTGAGAGAGGGAGTGAGTGGGCGATCACATTTGGCATCGGACAAATCGGGGTTGGGATTATTTTTGTTGGGTAAAGTTTGATCACGAGATCCACCGCTGGCTAGAAGTTCACGTTCTTTGGAGTTGCGCCATTTCATGCGACGATTTTGAAACCATATTTTAACCTGCAAGAATAAATAAGAGGAATATTCAGAGATTAGACAATTTTTTTAATAGTAGATTATTCGATTATTCGAATATATGTCAATATTTCCAAATGTTTGAGATGTGTTAAATAATCTTGTTATAAATCTCGGATGTTGACCTATTCAATAATCTTAGAAAAACAAAAATTGTTTATAAATCCAGCCTTGGGCTTCCTAGCCCATGACTAAATTGAAGAACTTTTCAAAGATTTACGAACATAACATTTGTTATTTCCTAAATTTCTCATGGGGAAGGTTAGACAATTTTTAGTACGAAGTGAATATGAAATTAAAGTGATTAAACGTTTATGCCTAAAAGTATGCACCACACAATTTCCGATTTTATCGGAAACCCAAGTCCGCCTGTCTGCTGATATTATATAAGGGATCCCAATATTTTAAATAGAGCTTTGATCTGTTAGTAATACTTCGATGTGTAGGTAACTAAAAAATGGGATAGATGAGTCCGTAGCTACATTTTCCATTTGAAGTAGCTGAAATTTGTCATTCCGTGTTTTTGGAGGATCTTTGTTTTGCCATATCCCCCTTGAATCATTTAAAGTTTAAATAGATTGAAATCTTCTGTTTTATGTATTTTAATGATTATAGGTTAATTTTTCTTCCGGAGTGGATATAACGTGGCATTCTGGCTTTTGAATGCTCCATAAGGACGGGCATACCTTTATGATTTGGCCTAAAAGTATGCACCAGACTTAAAATCGAAACAATGTATATTTCCAAAACCACCCAAGCCAAACCGCGTTTTTGGAGGGTCTATGTTTTATTATAGCGCCCATATAAAAGTCCCTAAAATTACACAAATATTGTGTTAAAAAAACCCATCACTAATACAAATGACTGATGCATACTTTTAGGCTGTATTCCATTCACAGGAAGTCACACTTTAGAATTTTATATAAATAAAATTGTTGGCCATATAAAAAATAAAAAAAAGTTTAGAAAATTACCTGAAAATAGTAACCATTTATTTGTGAATTACTGTTGCCTAAAAGTATGCACCAATCATTTAATCAACATCTTATAACTCATGAGAAATATAAGTTTTAAAAAAATCAATCTGGCAAATTTTATTTATTAGCACATAAGCATAATATGCCATATAATGGTGGGCTCTGTATGGAAGTACATAGTAAGTCTGCTGCATACTTTTAGGCTTTTAAACATTTTTACGAGAAAGTAGTGAATACATAACTTTTATTTATTTACTTTTTTCTTATTGTAATTAGTTTTGCCAAAAATAATGCCTTTGCCATTAATTGGAACCTTACGACCTCTATTGATAATAACTGATGCATACTTTTAGGCTGCCTTTTACTTACACCGAATCATATGCTATAATCATATATCTAAGATATTTACAAATAACTAAACTTATCTGCATTATAGATTAATTAAATGTGTATCCAAAACAATGCCTCCACAGTCAGCTGTCATTTGTAAAACAATGAATCTCCACAATGACCTTCGAACTCTGGCTTCCAGCCAAATTTATCCAAATTCCAATTAAATATTCAAAGAAACTTTTGCAGTATTCTACCCTTTTTCTATTGTTGTGTGCCTGCCTAAATGTCTGGTCCGATCATCATTGCCAGATATCCATCCTTCAATCACTAACTGACCAACATCGTCAGGCATGTTTTCTAACCCCCCACTGCAACTAAAATTTAAACCCATTTGTCTTCGCCAAAAACGATTTCGGTAGGAAATGGTAGAAAAACAAGGATAATTTGTTGCAAATTGATTGCAAAGCAGATACAAATTATTATTTGATACATGGATCCTGTCTCATGCCATTGCAAGTTCCTTTCCTGCTTGCAACAAACTTGTAGAGAATGTGTGTTTGGTTGAAAGGATTTGCAGTTGTAGTGAAGACCAAACTGAAAACAATGAACAGAAAACGGGAGGAAGGACAAGAGAAAACAAGGAACGAATAACGAGCAGTTGAGATAGATACAGACCGTGTGACTGACAGCTACGAGAAAAGGCGGCAACTTTTGGCCATAACTGTTTTTGAATTATTGTATGCAGTTTGGAGGGAACGTTGGGGAGAATGTACATACTTTCTCAGTATGAGTGCAAGTGAATGAAATAGTAAAACAGGAGAAGATGCTGTGGAAGAGATTGAGGTATAGGAAGTATGGGTTTGGTTTATGGATTACATACAGAGCAAACTATAAGGTAAAGTAAATGTATTTTTCATGGCACTGTTGTGGAGTGGTCTTGAGGAATCCACCAGGAAAGTTTTGCTGTTTCTATTGTTATTTTTTGTAAATAATCTGTATGTGTGTGTGTGCGACTTGGGTTGATAATCAGTGTCAGTTTCCAGAAAAGTTATTGTTGCGACACACACACAGCAGGACTTTTAACACTTGAAATTAATTGTTGTAGTTATATGTGAGGATATGCAAGGATAATCTATTCATAAGATGTGTTGGTTTATGAAATTTAAATATTCATTCTGCCATTAAATGGAATAATACTTTATTTGAATTAATGAAATAATAACTTCAATTGTAAAAATAATTTTTGCAACTTTTTAAAGAAGAAAGTCGTGCTGAAGTCATTGATCTGATTTTTTATGAAAGGTGTATTGGGGACAATGGTAGTCTTTATAAGCCTAGAAGTTTATAAAATGTAAAATACGGACAATGATTTTTTGGTTTATATCCATCAACATGGCATTAAGGGTATTTAAAAAAACTTATTTTCCATTAGAATTAAAAAATAAAAAAATGACAACCTTATTTTTATACTGGCTATATACTGCCCTTATAATAAAAAAATAAAATCGAAACATTTATGGAACTAGAAAAATATTCTTAAAAACATAAAGATATTATTTTGAAAAAAATACATCATCGCCGTAGTAGCCGTATGGTCCCTGAAAATTTAAAAGCGATCAGCGCTATATTTCTGCCCTCTAGTGTGGTAATGGGTTACTGAATACTATATCAATAGGTAAGCACATGCAAATATTTATGTAACTCCCGATTTCCTGATATAATTGGTATCAATTTAAAGGTCTTGAGAAAAATATTCTTTAAAAAAATTCACACTTAAGAATTTTCTTTTTGAAAACTTCCACACCTATAGGGACGTTGAAAAAGTATTCCTAGAAAAATATAAAATCCTATTAGGTCCTGATCCTCCTAAAAAAGACCAGAAATCATCAAAGTTTCTTTAAAAAATATTTTCGGAAAATATTTTGCACCTAAAGAGCACTACAAAAAATCCAAATCCGCAAATCTGGGCTCTTAAAAAAATCACTCGAAAAGGCTTCTTGGGATTCCTGATTCTCCTGAAAACCCCTGAAAAGATTAATGGAAAAAATCACACCTAAAGGATTCTTGCAAAAATCCATACCAATAAGTTGCCGATTTCCTGAAAATTCCCTTTTTTGAAAAATCGTGAAAAATACCCTATTAGGTCCTTAAAAATGTTAACATCAAAGTTTCTTTAAAAAATATTTTCGGAAAATATTTTGCACCTAAAGAGCACTACAAAAAATCCAAATCCGCAAATCTGGGCTCTTAAAAAAAATCACTCGAAAAGGCTTCTTGGGGAAATAGTCCTTTAAAAACTCCACGCTTTTCGGTTCTTGAAAACTGTATTTTTTGAAAAAATCATCCTGGTCTTACAAAAAATCCCGAAAATCCGCACCAATAAGGTCCTGATTTTCCTGAAAAGATTAATGGAAAAAATCACACCTAAAGGATTCTTGCAAAAATCCATACCAATAAGTTCTTGACCCTTCTGAAAAATCGTGAAAACCCTTATGGTCCTTATTTTTTTTATGATACCCTACACAACTACAACGAAAACCAAACTTTCTGATTTCCTAAAATACAAAAATTGTCACTTTAGGCTTTTGGTTGATTTGACCCGCGTAATATTGTCCGATCATCATCTAAACAGCCGCTCTAAGTATTTGGTCAGATCCCCTTCACCATGTAAAATATGTGATGTTCTACATATAATAATTGCCTCTAGAGCGACTAGAAAATCTGACAAAATTAAAGTTGTCGGTTCATTGCACCTCCTGAATGAAATCTCAATTTCACCGAAAACTATAGGCGTCGTCCTTGACCATAATCGGAAGTTCATGTACAATTTCAAAGCTATCAGCGCGACATTTCCGTCCTCTAATGAAGTAATAGTAATATTATGCACATAGTCACCTTTACCTAATTACATATAACTCCCACATCAGAGTACATACAGCCATATAATTGGTATCAATTTGTAGGTCAACAACTCCTTTTGGATATAATATCAACTTCTCGGGTACATGTCCTTCAGGAGCAAGTATATACGCTCCAGAATAAAAATTTTGTAATTTTTCACACAAAAGTCAGGGACCATTTGACCCACTAAATATTGACCGATCTTTATCAAAACAGGCATGTTTATTCTTTGGCACGATCCTCTTCTCCATGTAAAATTTCAGGATGTTCGGACCATAACCGCAAAAATTAAGTATTTGGTCCATTTCATCCCTTAAATATTAACCGATCTTTACCAAAAACAATAGGGGTCTTCATTGGGCCGAACCTATCCTCCATGCAGAATTTGGTGAAGTTTGGTCCATAACTGTGGCCTGTATCGTGTTTACAAATTATAATGGACAGACGGACGGACGAACACACATGTCTAGATCGACTCAGCTAGTCGAGATCGGTATACTTAAATATTTCGCGGCGTTACAAACTTTTGGGGCTGCACAAAGCTATAATACCCGACAACATAGTTGTGTAGGGTATAAAAATCCACTCTTCTTTGTTCTTGAAAAAATATTTTTTAAGAAATTCACACTTCTATGTTCTTGAAGAAATATTTTTAAAGAAATCCACGCCTTGCTTAAAAATCCACGACTTCAAAAATATTTTAATAAAACATGTTTTTTGTCATTTGTCCACTCAAGTGGAAACATCAGATTAACACCCTTGTCCACCAACAAG